CTTTGTGTCCTACCTCAAGCGTATATTTTCTGATTTCTTCATCTTTGAAGATCTTTGTATTGAGTTCTTTAGTTTGTCTATCATTCATTCCCACAACAATAGCAATGCTTTGACTTGCAAACCTGTAAATGTCCAATCAAATTCCTTGTTACAACATTATTTGCAAACCTGTAAACAACCAATCAAACTGCTTTTTACAACTATACTTGCAAACCTGCAAACCTGTAAACAGGCAATCAAATTGCTTGTTACAACATTATTTGCACACCAGTTAACATTAAATCAATCCCTTTGTCACAACTGTAAATTCCACTGTCTACATTGGATAGTTTTAGATAGTCAACTTCAGAATATTTTGTGAAAATTACTTCAAAACTATTTTAAATCAGCAGAATATCATTTCACTATTTTGACTGTATTCATAAGGTTTTATAATTCACAGATTATGAAACATTAAGGTCTACTGTAGTGAATTTAATTTAGAATATTTCAATTATCAGGAAAAATAAACGAGTTAATTAATTTACAGCATCAATATGCACTACTAACTTAAAATAAGTGGTAACACAGGAAAATGATTTTAAGAGCGAAGCAAATTGCCAATTATATTTATACTTGCACAAAATCAACTCATCTTAAATGAAGCTGTGGAAATCTGAGCTTCTCTTGGAAAAGCATACAAAAGTGACCTATATAGAATTTAGATACTGTACAATACTGTACAATACTGTATTTTAGTTGGAATTAATTTTCACTGAAAAGGCTTTTAGGTGGTTTGTATGGAATTTATTTTCACTTATTTTTGACAAGTTGAATGTGAAATATAGGAAAAAAGGTACCGGTATATTTGCTGGATTTTATTTTCACTAGATCCTTCCTACAGCAAAGTATTTTACAGTATTAAATTCAAGTAAATTTTTGGAGATATTACCATTTTGTTTCTGTATTATCACTGTGTAGTAGTTGCATAAATGCACTCCAATCCCAGATATCTCGGAAGGTGTTTGGTGCGTAAGTCAGGTACCTATATGCCGTTACTGCCAAGTCATAATGCTGAATAATGTGCATGGATCGACTCTTCTTGCTCTGATAAACACAATTTGGTACACATGAATACTCCAGTCATACAGTAATAACATTTATTCAACATCTATGTTGCTCTAACAAATTAGTCAAGAAGTTTATGACATGCACTACGCTAGTCTCATGAATGGACTCTTTGAATGCATACAACAGTGACCATAATGTTACCATGCATTTTGTACTCACCTTTTTCTTTGGTGGTTGACCATCGATATATTTGTCATCAGATAGTGATTGAAATAATGGTGGAGTGGACTGGAAATACTTTACACTAAACCTATAGAGAGAGAATAATTATTTTAATAATGTACATGTATACAATGCAACATTTATATATTAACTCCTGGAAATCCTAATTTTGTGGTCCAATGGCCAGTCAATAGTTGTATACTGTTGCCTTCGTGGCCAGTCAATACTTGTATACTGTTGCCTTCTTGGCCAGTCAATAGTTGTATACTGTTGCCTTCGTGGCCAGTCAATAGTTGCATACTGTTGCCTTCGTGGCCAGTCATTAGTTGTATACTGTTGCCTTCGTGGCCAGTCATAGTTGTATACTGTTGCCTTGGCCAGTCAGTTGTATACTGTTGCCTTACCGGCCAGTCAATAGGTATATACTGTCGTCCTAATTGCCAGTCAAGAGTCTATATTGTTGTTCTATGGCCAGTCAATAGGTGTATATTGTTGCTCTATGGCCAGTCAATAGGTGTACACCATTGCCTTCATGGTTACATGTTTGTCATACCTTCATCAATACAATTCATACAATCAGGATAGCGAAAAAGGAAAACCAAAATTAATGTCACCAGACAATTTTTTGAGATACAATAGTTCAAATTTCCAAAGGTTTTTACACTGGTTTCTATGAAAGGATTATTTCTTTATATCTCAACATTTTGGTTGTAGACATTATTATTACTCGTATGAATCCCAATCTGGTGAAAACATTTCATATATGCAGTGATTTTTACTATGCAGTACATGAGGAATGATTGGATTTATTTAACAGAATCCTACCCTAAGGTGTCCGGTACAATGTACAGTAACTTGCCAAGTGCAATACACAATTGTTCATGGTAATTCAGTTGAATGTGGCCATCTTGAAAAACGGCTTTGGAGGCTCTTTCAAGTAGGTCCAGCACGAGAGGACAAAAAGCTTGACCAATACAGATAGTACAGTCGGGTTGTAGTAAATACTTTGCTAATATATCCAGGAGTTGTGATCGATCGTGGGGTGTCCATATCTAGATAAATTGTAACAATTAGGATTAAATACATTTTATAAAAATTTGAAAAAAAAAAAAATTTCAATTGCATATTAATTCAGCATATTGATATTTCCCACACAAACTCAATGAAAATGTGTACAATTTATGTTGGATTGAGTGATACTTGACCATGTCATGGACATCCAGGGTCAAGTTTTTCATGGTGAGGTTATCCAGCTCCTTATTTACATTCCTCCGAGGCAGTAAGTGGGTGTACCCAATTTCAACCAATCACGACTGGCCACTTTGCATAAGTAAACAGTTTACATTTCCCATTGCATTTCATTTATTACAGTAAGCAACTTATTTTTATGCAGTGCCAGCATTTTTGTTGTTAAGCTTTCCTTGGATGGAAGAACGTCTCTTAGATTTAACAACCAACAACTCGTACATGTATCTCCTGGCTACATGCTGTCTGGAACGCAAGTAGCAGATCTTCAACATTTCGTATTTGTGCAATTACAACTGAAACAATCAGTTGTTTACATATTGCCTGAACCTTTCCCTGTGTTACTGGTATACAAGACTGCCATACCATTTGCAATGTGTTGCACTCAATTTCAAGTGAACATCAACCACAGGATGATCCTTTGAACAATTCATTTGACAAATTCTACACAAGAACATCTAGAATGTAGTCGGACAATCTTTTTCTGAGCCAGGCTAGTTTTACTCCCAGTTGCCAGCTTTTTTCACCCGGCACAGATAAACATTTCTCCGCTCAAAATCAAACTATGGGCTACAAAAAACGAGCTGTCGTCCAACACCCGCTTCTCACAGCCAGCTAAGATAGCATGTCATTGATGGATCTGCTGCGGGATACAGACAACGCCAAATTAGAAATTTCACTGCTTGGTCAACAACCACGGTTAGAAGAGCTTGTTAAAACATTGAAGGTCAAATTCGCAATTACGCAACAGGATGCATGCCATTAGCTGACTCAACCTCTAAGAGCAGCGATGACTGCTAAAGACAATGCCTCCACCATTCCCAAAATATCGCCACCAACAACAGCATAC